AGCATTTTAATAACAACTAAAGGTGACATAGATACTTTATAATGGTATAGTATTTAAATACGTACATGCCTGAGAAACACATAATATTGGCCCTTTTAAGAACCTCCTACTGTTTCGGACACTCCCATTTCAGCACATCTTCACAACAATGCTACTGGGGAGGKGTTCTCTGTGGARCGGGAGCACAGCTGAGCTTCAGGGAGGAGTGATGTACATAAAGGTGGTGCTTTGCACCAGCAAGTGTTTAGGCAGCTCCACGTGGCTACAACGGGAGATTCAGGGATTTCTCAAACGCGCACGAACGAGTCAAAGCAACACTGTTTTTTTTATGAGGGTGATATAAAGCTCAATAAACTCGATTTTGCATAACACACCCCCCCCACCCCCCTTAAGGTCAGTTGTTTGTTGGAGCCATCTTGAATTAGGCTGGCTCCAAAACTTAAATTGTTGTACATTTAGATTCAATGATTTTTTTTCCCCTGTGAGTTTCATTCAGAGTTATGCAGGGGTTCATGAAATGTTTTGGGAACAGAGAAACAGACACACAGATTCAGACTCGTCTGCTTCGGTTTTTAGCGGTAGGCGAAAATACGTCTGTGTAAAGAATTGAAAAGAAGAAGTTTCTGACTGATATCCTCTTTTTATAGTTATGCAATGGTTTGAGTCATCCCTAAAATACTCTCTTTAAAAATGCACCTAATACTTGATATGTGCAACAATCCTTTTTCTGGAGTCATTTGGAGGGCAAAAGAGAATAACGTCCGATTTTTTCTTCCCTTTGCTGATCTGGAGGAACCCGCTTCCAGTGGTCATATCAGCGTGTTTAAAGTCGGGGAGATGTTTTCATTTTCCTGCTCAGTCAGGCCTCAAAGTGTAAAAGAGCACCAAAACAAACAGTTTGCAGAGAAGGACTGAAAGGGAATACTGTTTGGGAGCACAAACACAGCAACTCTAATTTTACTTGGAAATCCATTTTCTGCAGGACAGCTGGCTGAAGGCCAGGCGATAAGATGAGGAGCTGCAGGCGAGGAAACAGTCAGACAAAAGGCTAACGAGTGGCCTACTGTGCATATCAGTAGCTTCAACCATGAATGAGAAATATCATCACAGCGTCCATCACAGCGGTTAAAMGCAGCTGAGAAAAACACTTTGTAGTTTGACAAAAGTCTTTATTACTGCATACAAATCAAATACATCAAACTGCCTTTTCACTTCAAGTTTGGAACATTAAAAAAAAGTTMTTTTGTCGTTTTTCTCAGGTCTTTCTATGTACCAGAAGCTGGTCCAGGGCCAGGATCCCTCTCACAGATGACATGAAGAGGATTCAGAGGACATCGTGCCACTCTGCAGGCCTGACAGGTGTCAGTGCATGTAACTACATCTCACAGAGTTATATTCTGGGGAAAGGACAACAGATGAAAGTCTGCCAAACATCGAGCAGCATYCTAATCATTTCTATACGATACAGCCACAGACATGCGAGCGGATAATATGCCAGGCCTGGAATGTGGAGCCTTGACGCAGGTTGGGATATAGTTGCATTGCTCCAATCCCCCCACCCTCCCACCCTCATTGCCCCTGGCTACAATCAGTCTACATCCCAACAGCTGCCTGCTCTCATTCCCTCCATGCTACTGATGCCACGGGAAGATTTTACTGATAGATAGCCTACAGCAGATGGCTCCTCAAGACCTGTTGGTATTCAAACAAGTACAGTGTTTAATTCTCCACTTAAGAGGTGTGTGCAAGTCCCCCCCCCCCCCCCACACACACACACTATCCCTGAATGAAAAAGAAAAACAAGCGAGATAGGGTGTAATGAGAAACTTCTGATGAGTTTGACATGTATTGTTTACAGTTCATGAGAAGTTTCTCATCTTACTGTGGTGCTCGGTGAGCATGAAAGACCCTTTCATGTGTGGCTTCCAACAATAGACATTCCAGACTCCATGTTGGAAGCCAAACTGTTGCCAAATCTCTGCTCGTTGCCTGAAAATGAGTGAAAGAACAGCATCCGTTTGGTCCTGAGTGTGAAGGTTCTGGTAAAGGTTTTAAATGTGAGCAGCTGTTGCCTTGTTTCCTGTTTTATGAATGTTAGACTCAGAAGTTGAGTTTTTGCTGTAAAACTGTTCTTAATATTATTTATTTTTCCTTAGAAGGACCAATTCACTTGTTTGCTTTAGCAAGTTAACTGTCATCATAATGGGCATAATGGGCAGTTGCCTATGTGAGAATTTTTGTAGCTCAAAGCAGAAGAGGAAGAAGATTTTTGGTTATGCACAGACCTAGTCTGAAGCTGCACCAGCAGATCAATAACTTTGAGTATTTTGTTACTCGGGACCATGTAGAGAGTTCACTCAGGGTGTGTTCATAGAGCAAAACACCTTCTTGACATTAATGATGACTTGTCTGAAATACTTGAATTTTTTTGCATGATTATCTCAACAGGTGATTGTCATCGGGGCAGTTTTGCACAGGTCACAGTTTTCAGAGCAGTACAGAAAAATACATTTGATGTGTTTTGTAGGATGTGATGAACGTCATGCTGTGGGGTAATTAGTGCATGCTGATTCACGATACTTGATGTTGTACTGTAATGTGTTTACAGTGTGATTGTTACAGTATACATGCATGAAAAGTGTTAATTCGAGGACCATTTATGCAGTTTGTAGCAACAGCGCTGAGTTGACTGTTTAGAAAATGACGCATTAAAATGTTTTACATTGATGTCACATGTATTTGTCCAGAAGTAATGAAAGATTAAACGAATCAACTGTCCATTTTTTTAATTAAAAAAAGTGTTTTCAAGAGTAATAATAAAAACATTTACAGTTTGTGATCTAGTTGGTTTCACTTGGTGACATACAACATCTCATACAACAGAAAGGTTTCACCTTAAACTGAAACAATCCCTGGAATAACCATGCTGTTGCATTACAGAAGTAAACATAAACCATAGAAGTACTAAGTTGAAGTAAAGGTTGGATTCCAGCATGTTTTTTTTTTTTTGTTTCCTAAGGTCACTTTAATTCAACAGCATTGAATCTTAAACAGTGTAGAAGAGCAAGTGGCGTCCACAGCGTCGGGCTTCCAGCTCGGACATTAAAATGTGTCCTGTGTTTCAGGTTCCAAGAGATCAGATTTCTCTCAGCAAACGGATCACTCTTATCCTACCCTCTTTGATGCATGCTGAGTCCAGTCCCAGTCTCTTCTGGATTGTGATTAGTTTGTGTCTTTCAGAATGCCTCGGCCGTTTCAAGACAGTTAATGTTCTGTTCCTCGTTCAGTGAAAACAGGCTTTGATTACCAGTAAGTCATGTGAGGTACAGGCTTTTTCAAGATGCAGTAAAATTACAAAAACATGAGTAATACCGATGTCAATGTTGGTGAACTGGTGTCGGATAAGTCTTGTTAAACGTTGCCAATTATTGTGAACAGAGTGGACTGCTTTTTCTTTCTTTTTTTTTTAAAGAGAGAGAGAGGCCTGAGGTAGGGGTGATTTTGTTGGGGTGGGGGGTACTCATTAAGACAAATTCAATCCCTCTCCTCCAAGCTTTCTCATGCCATGTCTCTCATCGGGGCCCAGAGTCCCTAAAGTTTAGCTGCACTTGCAGGACTTGACAACCATGTTTGAGAGCTGCTCGACTTTTGGAGAGCGTCCAACGTAGTAGAGGATTGTGAGGGGCTCCAGGTCCTGAGGAACGCAGCAGGGGGAGGCGGATGCTTCGGGGTTTAGAGTGTTGTAAAGACTCAGCAGCTGGAGAAAGAAGAGCAAGAGAAAGAAAAAATAATCAGTGATAAATTTTTCAACAGGTTCGAGATTTTAAAGAGTCTTTGTCTCACCGAGCTGTGGGTGGTGTCCGCGCTGCGAAGGTAGGGACAGGGGCCAGAGCAGAAGTTAGCATAGTACCCTTCAGGCTGGTGGATCCACCTCCAACCCAAATCCTGACGGAAATTAATATATAGTGGCCGCACACAGCAATTCTCCTCATAATTACTGCAGACCAGAGAAGAGAGACAAGATCGCCTTTAATGCACAYGTAGCATTAGCTTAAAGTGGACATATCAAGCTTTTAAATACTTTTTCACATTTAAATCATTCAGTCAGTGTCTACATAAAGTGGAACTGCAATGCTTTGGTTTGAATTCCTCCTTATTGTAACTCCACAAGCCCCTCTTTCACCACTTTTCTGAGGTGTGCCTCAGATCAACTCGTTTTGAGTCTGTCTCTTTAAGTCCAAATGAGATGCTTCACATCCCTCCAGCTTACAGACCAACCCACTCCCGTTTGAGAGGCGGGTTTATGACTATAGCGGTGCAGAAACTTTTTATTTACAAATTAATTAAAACATGTCAACAACAGAAGACTTGTCCATCCAGCCTTACACGTTGGCGCCGGAGTCTGACCCAGAGCCAGAGGAGAATGAAGTTGACCAAATTATAGTCGGTAAGTCCAGACCTTAGTTGGCAGTTTTGTCACAAATACTATAGTTTAGAAAACGTCAGAGAAAATAGAAAAATATGACCCAAACAGAATATAAAGATATCTTTGCAGCACCGGAAGAGACTATATTCAACGTTTCTGCACTCCTAGAGACTCAAAAGTACACAACAAAATGCATTTAACTGCTAAAAAATGAATTTTGTATGATATGTCCTCTTTAAAAGTTGCATAGATGTCCTCTCCATGCCCTCAGTCAGGGAGGAGAGAGAAGTTCAGAAATTCCACTCTTAGGTGTGCCCTTATTTTCTCTCTTGGAGTCAGCCCAGGTGACTTTGGTACTTGCCCGTCAGCCTGATGGAGGAAATCGAAAGCTGAGGAGACAGTGCATAGGAGGAGGTGGTGTTTGCTAGTCCTGGGACAGATCCTGACTTGCATCAGCTAATACCTCTGTCATGCTTATCTGGGTAATTAACAAGCTGCTTCTTTGTATTCTGTGCTCATGTGCACTTCTTACCTGTCATGTTTTTTAGATCTGACAGCTGATAGTTTTCATTTCTGTTGCTTTGACTTTAATACAGTAAAGCAATCTTTCTTGGATGGAACATTAGAGCTCCTTCAGTTCTATTTTCAGACTGGCACTGCATCCAGACAGTATGTTTGACTAATTTTAAAACAATTTCACAAAACTATGCAAGCGGCATAACTTCTGTGCCACATTGAGGGAAAGGCTCTTACTTGAAGCAGTAATTGGTGTCGAGTGCCCGCTTGCGCCGGCGGGAGGAGGAATGGGAGTCCAGTCTGTGAGGAGGAAGCATCATGAGGATGAGGTGAGGGTACGGCTGCTCTTTTTGTTTCTTCTCACGCCTCCCCTCGTCAAAGTCSCCTTCCACACCTGCAGGAGGAAATCGGAACATTTCAAAGATAGCTTTGGTTCGAGACCCGAATAGGAACGTTTTTTTTCCTAGCTCAGTATTTATTCTTTTCCATACTTAACACTGCTCTGTTTAACTTCCCCTTTTCTTTTATTCTCACCAACAGGCCCGTGTCTGCTTGTCCAATCTGTCGCTGATAGCTAAAGCAGTTGATATCTCAGGAGAGATGCTGGTAGATCTGTACGGCCCTCTTTAATTTGGGGCCAAACGTCTGAGCCCCGTCGCTGCACATTCCTTGTGGCCAGGCCAGTCAAGAGTGTTCCCAGGACCGAGGGCCTGGGGGCCCCAGTGCTAAATGAGAAACCAGATCGACCATATTCCCATACCCCGTGTCTCTTCTTTTAGGAAAGGAAACCCATCAACTTCATAAAAAAAAAAAAACACCTTCAGTGAGTCTCTGCATCCAGAACATGATTGTCAAAGTGAAACTCGCTTTTTAAGACYAGTTGAGCATTATTGTATTAGAGCTCTTACTCACCAGACACCTAGGCGCCAATTTAGGCCAGTAAATTAAATCCAAACGATCATAATCAAATTAAGTTTAATCTATAATCCACTGTTTCTTGTACAAATAAAACATTGGAGCACTCACTGGCAGCATTAACAGTCTGACATGTATTAGACTTTAACAGAGAAACACTAATTATCCGGAGCCACTTTCCTTATGGGCGAAACATATGCAAAAGTGGGAACTTTTAAACAGTTTTTCATGAGAAAAAGAAACTAAATGGATTTTATTTTATTGTTTTTTTTAATTAAACCAGCTTTATTCTCCTAAATGTCAATCATCCAAAGAACCAGCACAAAATGCAGCGTGCTAATCAGACTAAACCAAACTCTTTAACTGGCTTATCTGCTTATCTTGAAAACTATACACTTCAGGCATAATTCAAACAAACTGAATCATCTGGCTCCTCTTGATTGTGAAGTGGAACTGGCAGGGCATTTCTTTACTCTGAGACTGAGAGATCAAAAGCAGAGACACATCCTGACCAAAGGCAGAGCCGGCGACCGCAGTCTGGCCATGGAGACAGGACATCACAAAAAAAAAAAAAAAAAAAGGCAAGAAAACTTGGAAACCTAAAAACAAAAGACTGTGCTGAATGCACAGCAATCTAAATTGAGAATGATGGGCTTTCCTTCCGGTAAAGTATGTTTATGTAAGGTACATTAAAACCTGCTAGTCATTAAAAATGTTTGCTATGTTTTAAAAAAAGGGAGTTATTCTCTCACACTTTATACAGCCAGACATCTTGTGTTGTAGCCTGCATGTTTGTTAAATTCATCTTTGTGAAATACATTTCTGAAATCCCATACTGGCTAGCTCAGCTCACAGTAATCCAGTTTTCATTTAACCAGTGTTGCAATCTTTAAAAGTCATCTTTATCAATGGTTTTCCATTTTTATGGAAGGTCTCATACGCTGATGTTTATGAGCGATCCTTAGAAATAGGCAAGAATTAAGGAATGATCTTAATGAAACAGGAGCTTGATCAAAAGTTTTTCTGACAGAAGCCACGTGCAGTATAAAATAATCAGCTTTTTAATTTCAAATTATTTAAACCTGTTAGATAAGACCACTTTAGTTAAAACAGATGCCAGTTAAGATCAGTAATCAACGGTTAGATTATTTTGTATTAGATACTTTGTTTCCCTTCACTTTCAGCTCTATATTCACTGTGCATGATATCTAATAAATTTACATAATCTAATCTAATTTTTCATGTGATAATTACTGCTCTGAACTTATAATTGTTTTAGATCTGCTTGATAATCACATTCAAAGTATCAGAGAAACATTAGGTGCTAAAAAAATTGATTTCTGGTGAAAGTGAAAACAACTTACTATCTAACATTATCTTACCGCTGAACTTGACTTCCAGCACCTCATTGGTGTTCTCGATGATATCTCCATTAGGCCTGAAAGTGTGGCAGGGACAATGCACGCTGATCTCCAGGCCRAGATTGGTCTCTGAGGGGGAAATCAAGATTAAGGAGATGACATTTTACCTCAAGGCTATTATCTTTCATTTATTTGTGAAGCTTTTTTAAGGAATGTATTCCTTAAAGGTGTGAAGAGGTGAAGATCTAAAGTTTCCCACTCACGTCGGTACATCAGCCACTCCCTCACTGTCTCTGTCACGTCAAAGGAGACCCACTCAGGTGTCCCCTTGGTCAGGACGTTCTTACCCCCAATGTAGCGCTGTTTGGCTTTGGGGTCGTCTTTCTGGAGGATCTGTGAGGAAAAATGAAAATGTGACCCAGCTGCATAAACACACACACACACTCACTCACACACACACACACACACACACACACACACACACACACACNCACACACACACACACACACACACACACACACACACACACACACACACACACACACACACACACACACACATGCGTATATGCACACAGAACCAAGGCTGTCTGTTGGAGCCAGACTCTCCAGGATGCCTTGGGCCAAATGTCTACTCTTCGTGGAAAAAGTGACTCCCTCTGTTGATATCCCCATTTTGCAAGTTAATGCCTGCGTGTTACCCTCCTGCCAGTGGGAAACTGGCTGTTCTTCCCATCAGCCATTCAAACTTTGACTGAAACCTCTCAGATCAATGTCACTCAGTTCAAAAAATAAGCATCCCCGAAGGCATTCATGTTGAGATAACTGCTCCAAACTGACAGTAGAGGCAAGTAGCAGACATTTCAGTCTGCACCAGCATCTTTCTGGACAAACGTGTTTTATCTGGAGTGAGAAATGTGTTTAGGTGGTGGGTATGAAGCCCTTGGCCCCCCCACAGCAAGAGCTGTGGATAACCAGGTTCCTGAACATTGTCAGCATCTAATCTGCCTTCCTGTGGGAACGAGGGGCCACAGCACTGCCAGCATCAGCCATCTGCCAATCAGATCTAGCCTGAAAAGTGTGGGGGCGAGTGAACGGCTCCGTTTACTCCCACCGGTGGGTGACCCTGCCTCTATCTCCTCCCAGGTCCCTGGAAACAATCCTGGGGGCCTGACAAGTTGGTATCGGAGTACTGGCCAGAGCTTTGCCTCAGAGACCATATGTAGTCCGCTTGTCTCTCTGGCAGGAAGTGTCGGAACCTGATCATTACTCCTAGTCTCTCATGGGAGATGAGGAAGCAGAAGAAAACTATTCCTGCCACCCTTCTTGCAGACACCAACCAGATGTCTACATAAAATGATCGTAAACATGCAAAATGCATCCCTTGATCTAACATGTACAGACAGATGTTTTTAGAATGAAACCCTAAAACACGTGTCAAACTCAAGGGATGCGGGCCAAATCTAGCCCACTATGGCATTTTATGTAGCCTGTGAAATCTTCAAATATGTATTAATGTCTTAAGATAAGCATATGCTTCTTTTAAAGCCAGTGTTGACCATAAATTACATCTCCCATAAGGCATGTTGATTATTTTACCTGTGAAATGGCGGCTTCCCACCACTAGGTAGAGGTGCACAGGTTTCAAAAGTAGCCGGTAGCTGGTGAAAGTTGCCATGTAAAATCTCCATTTCACTCCAATTTTGCGGGCCACTTTTGCTGTTGTATTGGAAGGTGGAAATTTCCCACTTACAAGTTGAAAATTTAAGCAGGGACACCCCTTCAGTGGGAATTCCCTGTCAGAAAGTGGGAGACTTCAGAATTCAAGATGGCAGCTACTCACCACAACTCAACAGTGAGTAAAACTCTCTTACTTTTATTTTCAACTGTATTTCTGTTTAATTTATTTCACATTCAGTCAGTAATACACGTAATACTTTTCAGTGTTCATAAGGGGACTTGTTAAAAACGCTGTTTCTATGCAAGAAATACCATGTAGAGCTCAGTTATTGTTTGTTAGGGATGATCAGTGGTAACTATGGGATGAGGGAACATGACGTTTCATGTTTAGTCGACGTTAAACACAAAACGCAGAAGTTAATTACAACTGGCCTTTTGAGGGTCACAGTAATGCTCAAGTGGCCCTGGGTAAAAAGAGCTTTGACATCCCTGCCCTAAAAGAATAAACTGTTATGTGGCGGCACACAGATTTTAAATTTGTCCTGATGTCGGCACTGTCAAATTAAAAAAACATAGAATAATGATCACTGCATGAAAAAAAAAAACAGAAGTTGGACATCCTTATTTAAATGTTTTCATCCTTTATGTGTCCTACCCCCAACACACACACACACACACACACACACACAC